CCCAACTTATTTGCAAATTTTCGAATGCTGGTGGTCGAGTTTCAAAACATCATTATCAGCGGTTGATGGTCGTCTACGTTTGAATATAATGAAATAGCAGGCCCTTATTCTTTTTCTGCGCACCGTTACCTTCAGGACGTGAACGACGCGTCTCTCCACAACATCCTATCCCATGTAGCTATGTTGTCATTTTACTACCTTCACACACCTTGTTTTGTCATCCTTTTGCACAGACTCGTTGGACAGATTTCTCGCTGCTTCCCTCTTGCCTTCAATATGACCTATGAGTATCAAATTCTCCAAGCTCTCTTTCTCACTTATGTGCTCTTCTAGTCCCTTTTTTCCTCAAAACTTCCTCATTGCTCACATATTCAGCCCATGGTATTCTCAGTATCTTTCTGTAGAACCGGATCTCATTTGCTGCAGATCTCCTGAGTTTAATATGTCCTAATTAGAGAGAAAAGAGTAATCAGGATGACAGTAGATAGCGATTGACTTTGCATTTAATTTTTTTTTTTTTTTTGCAGATTAAAGTTGGCTGGAAAGCATGGAGCCGGAAGAGTGTTCCACAAGCGAGAAGAGCGAGAAAAATAAACTGTTAACATAGAACTTACGGCTTCGTCTAGCCAGCTTAACTCTTAAATTGACGCCAGTCTAGTGCTGCACTTAAATTCGAAAAGTCTAGCTATCATAGCGCAGATCACGTCTGAACAATTATCACGAATGTATTTATAGAAAAAATATAGAGAGGTAATCTTAGGGCGGTGGGAAAAGTGACTGAGGCCGAGCTGACAGAACAGGACCAATAATATTGCTGATTCTTGGGATCTTATCAAGGAACTCAAGGTAAATAGCGGGGACATCAGACCATATTTGGCAGCAATATTCTAAGCATGGACGAATGATAGTTTGGTTTGGTTTATTTTACGGCATATCAACCTCTATGGGTTATTTAATGCCGACAAGATTTTTATTGCTGGTAATTTTTTTTTTCAAAATATATTGCGGGTAATAGTTTTTTAAATGCATTGCTGGTAATAATTTTTTCTTCAAAAATTCATTGCTGGTAATAACCTTTTACAAAAATGTATTGCTGGTATTAAAACCTATTTTGACACTTTCATAGTGTTTTGACCCCATTTTGGGCGTCAACTCTTTGCCCATAGCTGGAACCCTAACAGTTGCTATCAGCCCGGGTCAGGGTGAACCTGGGAACACCAGCAATTAAGAGGTGGTTGCACGCTCCTCAAAACCTGATCAGAGGCCTTGCTGTTGGATGTAGTTTATAGTCTTACCCAGGACGCGGACGTAGTTTATCGTCTTACCCAGGACGCGGACGTATGTTAGACTTATTGATATGTAATATAGATTCTGGAAAGAAAAATTGTCTAGCACGTCACAGTGAACTAACTTTCTTAGCAGCTGGCATAACAATAGATTCAATATAGTCTTTCTACTGCATGTCAACTGATAACATCAGCTCGAGAATGCGCAATGACTCTTCTAAGGGTTAGCATCAGCCATACTGATGGGAAGGATTTGCCAAAAAAGCGAGAAAAAGTGGGTATGGTTATAAATATATCTGAAATAAAGTGCAAAGCCACTAATGAAAAATAGTTCCACTTTCAGTATAACAATCTATGGAAAACCAATTCTGCAAGTATATGAATTTTGGCCACAAACTTTCTTCTTCGAATGAAGGTTCAATTCCTGTTCAGTATAGAATTGGTCTTAGCTAGGCAGCATTTGAAAAGAACAAACTCCTCCTAACATCCTCTCGTATTCCCTAAAAAGATCTAATTACTTTTAAGATCTACAACACATATATTCTTTCTATACAAGCTTTATGGCCTGGATTATGTCAACTGGACTTTAACAATTAGAACCGAGTCTCTATCGAGTGATATGCATATAACTTGGCCCATGGTTTCTGAAATCATTTCTATAGTACATCGACTTTATGAATTTAAGCAAAGGTATTAATCGTTTCCCGCTATCTATGGGATAAATAGTAGAGTAGATAGTGCTCTGTAGATATTTATGACTATAAGAGCAGGAGACGGACTAGTCTGAATTGAAGAACGTTTGAGAAGGTATTGGGAAACCACTCCACTTGCTTACTTGTGTCTTGTTTTTTTTTTATAAATATGATCTTTCCTTAGACCCCTTGAATTTAAATGTAGCACTAGATTGGTAATTAGGTCTCATTGTTTTACTTTCGTTTTATTTTGTCTGAAATAGCTATATAAAACGGTAAGTTCTGTTCTAACAGTTTCCCCTAACACACTTCTCGCTTGTGGAACTCTCTTACTTCCTAGTTAACTTTGATCATCAAAAATTTAAATTGCAATGTTAATCGTTATCTACGGTCCTTTTTTATTTCCCTTCAATTGAGAACAATTAATAATGTTTTTTTTTTCTTCTTCTAATTCTTTCACACTCAGTAACCTCTTGTGCCTTTGTGGTTTTACTACTTTGCACGGGGTGATATGATTAAGAAATAAATGTTAGAAAGTACATACGTGACAGAAGCCACATGTATAAGTCCGGAAGAAAAATGAACATATACACTAAGTGAGTGTAAATACAGAAACAACCAGTTTTGAAGACAATTAATTTTGATTGTAAGGATTAGCGTAAAACGACTTCAAACTTTTTGGGGCTTCGTTAAATGCTCTCTTATACTAAGAGTTAAAGGAAAATGAATTTTCTGAGGAAAAAAAGGAACTTTCTTTTTTATTTCACTCTCTCCGGCTCTCTTACTTCAGCACTCCTATGACCTTGTCTTGTTGATGAGGATATAAGAATCAGTGGAGGGGGGGGTGTATTCAATGACACATAAAGAGTTGGATGCACCAAGCTTTTGAAGAAGGGCAAAAAATACATCAGCTAGTAAAAGCAACCGAATAGATTGTGGTTGAGAACAAACTTGTCTGATTTTTTTTTTCTTTTCTAAACACTTAAAGATGATATAGAAAAAGAGTTCAAGTATTCGTTTCTTTTCTTTCCTATAGAGTTTTATTTGTGCTTAACATTTAAAAGGCGGGAAAAAAGTTGTATCAACATGCACACTAATCGGGTAACTAACGAAAAAATTCATTTTTTAAGGTTACTTTCTAAGCTTATTTTCGCGTTAATTATTTATAAAGTTATACAAATGAAATTTCTAACTATTTTAAAAATAAAAAAATAATTTTTTAAATTTAAAAAATTTTTAATAATTTTTTTTTTTTTAAATTTAAAAAGATTTTAAAAAAATTTAAATTTTAAAATAAAAAAGTATAATAAAACAAATGATATGTTCTTTAGCTTCTATCTGTTTGTTTGCTAGGATTTTGGAGATAGACCCCCATAATTATATATATATTCTGAAACTACATTACCCAGGGTACTTGGATAAGTATATTTCATTTTGATCAAAGGCGGTCCCCGTGGGGTACCCCCAACACGCACTGATTTTTTTCCCTTTGATTTAAATTAAATGTGAATAAGGAAATGACTCCTATCCAAAATATAGAAGGAGAAAGCCAGAAGATGGAGGTCACATCGACAAGATCATTTAGTAATATTGAAATGCATCATTTTTCTCCATAAATTATAACAATGATTTAACATCAATCATCATTTTCTTATTAAAAAATGTGTGACACGCAACAAGGCGTGGGTAAATTCGGCTAGTATCTTTAATAATATGAAGAATAAAGTTTTTATTAGAGCTACAAAATTTTAATTAAGGTAAAAATATAACAGATGTGATTGAAACGCACAAGAGGAAAACTAAAATAGTTGCCAATATTTAAAGAAAAGAATGAAAAAAATATATCATAGCATAAGTCAAGCGGGGATCGCTCCATTCTCATCTGAACTCGATCGAGGAAATTAAATTATTTTGCACACCGACTATAAAAGAGAAACATAAGGAATAAAATACACATGTATCAATGATACAAGATGCGACAGAAATACCTCCCGGAAATACCTCCTACATATACCTTCCAGAAATAATTCCCAGAAATACCTCTCACATATACTTCCCAGAAATACTTCTCACATAAACCTCTCAGAAATACCTCTCACATATACCAGAAATACTTCCCACATAAACCTACCAGAAATACCTCCTAGAAATAACTCTCACATATATCAGAAATACTTTCCACATAAACCTACCAGAAATACCTCCTAGAAATACCTCTCACATATACCAGAAATACTTCCCACATAAACCTACCAGAAATGCCCCCTGCCTATACCTTCCAGAAATACCTCCTAGAAATACCTCTCACATATACCAGAAATACTTCCCACATAAACCTCCCAGAAATACCTCCTACATATACTTTCCAGACATACCTTACAGAAATATGTCCCAAATATACCTCAAGGAAATACCTACCACATAATGTTAAGACATTAGTACATTCATCTAGCTGTCTTACCGTTAACATGTGACACGCTTCATGTCTATTTTTGATCCATGATCACCCAAGGGTATTTGCGCGTATGTGAATATAACGAACCCGAGAGGAATTTGAACTCGGACCTCCAATTTCTCATTCCAAGCCGTTATCCACTGCACCACCGGAAGTACCTGGTTAGCTCATTCTATAGTAATTTTCTTGTTTGTTTGTTTTTCATTTTTCTTTTCGCAGCTGCTAAAGATTTTTTTTTCTCTTGTCTATTAAGTAAGTGCGTTTTTATTCCATTAATCGGACGAGAACCGGTGTTTCAATATGATATGGTCGCTAAGAAAAACAAAAGAAAAAGCAGATAAATTGGCAATTGAAAGAAAGAGAGAAAAGAGAAGGGGAGAGAAAAACAAAAGGAGAGATCAATTGTAATTCAAAGAAAGAAAAGAAAAAAGAAAGAGAATTAACAAAAGCAGATATGAATTGGTAAACAAAGTGTATTTGAATGTAACGAACGAAACCGATATTCGAACTCCGTTCTTCAATTTCTCACCCCGAGTCGTTATCCATTACACCACAAGCTCATCCCGTCTTGCAGCACTTGATATTTCTAAGCATTCACCCATCTAGATATTGGCCAGATTCAAGGTCGCTTAACTTCGGTGATCGGATGGGAAGCGTTGTTTCAACGAGATATGGCCGTAAGCTGTGTAAAAAGCTAAAAATCCATAGAGATTGTTTATGTATGTATATTTCACGTAAGTTCAGATTCACTCGAAAGCTAATTAATCAATAATTGGAGCAGTGATCTCTGAAAAATTACTTTTTTTTTTTTTTGCTTTTGGCATAAGCGAAAAAAGAAAATAATATCTTCAGAATATACACTACAGTTCAAAAGTTTGAGGTCGCCTTAGTAAATTTTTCAATTGGCCTAAAAAGAAAATTATTATACGGGGTTAAAAAAAAAAAGTGAGACATAATTTTTTATTAGAAATTTTATTATGACAAAGAGAAAAAAAATAATTTTGTAATTAAATTTTGCTCTCTGATTGATAGGCCTCCGCCAGTCATCAATGACCATGATTTTGATCCCTTCTCTCTGTAAGGTAGGATCAAGCCTAGGGAGGATGGCATGGAGGACAGAATGTTGTCTATGCAGCATGTCCCCCAACCGTATCTGTGTCACATGGCCATTACAGTTTGGCACCGACGCAGGAGCTGCCAGAACGAAGCTATAATCAGCGACGGATTGCCCTCAGGGCAGGGGTGGCCAACCTTTTGATTCCATGCGCTAATATTTTGTACGATTAATTTAAATGCGCCACACAGACATTCACTTCCTTTCAGTACGTGTTGTAATATGGACATATTTTAAAGTTATAATAAAATCTATTTATTTGAAAAATATATGCTTATGACCAGGGGCGAATCCAGGAGTTGGGGGGCGTACCCAGGTGTTTTGAGGGGGCATATCCAGGAGTTTTGAGGGGGGGGCGTATCCAGGAGTTTTGAAAGGGGCCATCAATGAATGCATTGACTTTCTTTTTCTCTTCAGATTTTGCAGAGGGGTGGAGGGGGGCCATGGCAGAGTTTATAATGTTTACATAGGCAAAATAAACATAAATAACTTTAATGTGCCTTTTGATTCTGCTTTGTTTTTGCCAAACCAGCAATATTAGGAGTTAAATTCGTAACTGAAAGCAACAAACAATTCTTCAAGTTGGAATCGGACAGATGCGCCACTTGTAAGCATCCAATGCGTCACTTATGGCGCATGCGCCACAGGATGGCTATCCTTGCCTTAGGTGCTCCGAATTTTTATAGGGCTACACACAGTTTGAATTCAGAGTTACTTTCTCCTAGACCGGATTAGATTCTTGGGTGATAAACCCAAGAATCTAATCTGTCCTGATATTTAATCTTAGCTTAAGATTAAGAAGAAGAGGATTCATGCTTTTCCCAACGGTATTAATACGTAAATGAATGCAATGGATCCGAGTAGAATTCGATCTCGGCTCGAATCTGAGCCGCTATCCATTACTCCACCGTGCCTGCTACTGCAGCACAAATTTTTGGCATTCGTTGCAGAAGTTTCTCAAAGTATAAGTTTGATAATTGATTCCATTTTTTTCAATAACTCTAAGAGCTCTTTTTTTATTTTTATTTTTTCACTTTTCTGCCAAGTTTATCCCATACTAATTCTGGGGGTGGCTTCAAACTTTTGAACTGTAGTGTACATCAGGCAGTTATGTGCCATGCGTGATGCACGCTTAGGCGATCATCTATCTTTCGATATATGACAGACGAGGCAGATTTGGTCCCGCAGTAGATTTTTTTATCTGCGGTAGACCAGTTGCTATTCAAGGCTATAGGACCCGATCTGTCCTGCTATTTACCCACAGCTGGGGGGGGGGAGAAGAAGAGAATTCATACCGTTCCCACTGGTATAAGCACGTAAGTGAAGGAGTACATAAATATCTTTTTAATCATTTTACCCAAGGAAGGCGTAAAGCGACTAAGACGCAAGGGGTTACGGCGAGTGAAATAATCTGAGCTAAAAACCATTATGAAGCAGATAGAACAATAAAAGAACAAAATTGAAAAATATAGGAGATGACAATTGATATTGCATTTAACTTTTTGAAGACCAAAATTGACTGGAAAGCAAGAAGCCGGAAGAGAGCTTTACAAGTGAGAGAAGAAAATGTTAAAATAAAACTCATAGTTACATCTAGCCATTTCAACTGTAAAATGATGAGACCTAACTGCTAATCTAGTACTGGGCTTAAATTTCTAAAGTCGAGATACAACAGAGGAAAGCTCATCAATGCAATTACCATGAAAATGTTTATAGAAAATTTACAAAGTTTTACATTTATTCGTCATCTGGTCCGTTAATTTTTAATCAAATCAAGAGAATTGGAGAGTAAGAAAGAAGAAGGATTAAGACCAGGCTGCTTTAGTCAATAAGCTGAGAGAATTGAAAAGGTTGACAGGAGTTAATTAGTTTTTGTGGGTTCCGGATTCAGGTGATTTGTAGAAGACGACCAAAATGTTAATGAGTGTCAGGAGAAAGTCTGAGACTGAAAAGCTTATGTTTTGTCTCTCGTTCTTTGAGAAAATGGATCAATGGGTGGATTGGTCTTCCTTAAATCATTGGTTATGATGATAATGTCACAAATTTGTCTGAAGATAAAGAATTTGGGTAGCTTTTTTTTTGCATAAAAGATCAATACGAGAGAACAAAACATGAGATACGAAAACATTCTTCAGATAAATATAAGTTTTATGAAAGGTTATATATATATATATATATATATATATATATATATATATATATATATATATATATATATATAATTATTTTTATAAAAAAAATTATAACATAAGTATGTTATAAAATCACTACAAAAATAGCCATTTTGTTTCATTTTGTTTTTTTCATATATCTAAGTATGGGTGCATAAAAGTCTATGTGTATATATGTGTGTGTATGTAGGTTTATATGTATATGTGCGTACATGTGTACTAGTTATCATAGATATGTATATGTACGTATATGTTTATATTTATATATTTATTTGTATGTATTTCTGTATGTATATGTATGTATGAGTATATTTTTTATGTGTGTTAATTTGTTTTTGCTGCCGTGTATATATATGTATATATATATATATATATATATATTTGTGGATTTCTTTATCCTGTTTTTCTTTGCCTAATATATAATGAAACTATTATCAACTTATATGATTAATAATATATTTTTTTTATTGATATTTATGGTTTTAGAATTTTCGTTTTAATATTAAATAATATTATTTTAAACATTTTATCTTTGTATATTTGCTCCCTTAAGTTATAATTCGATAAGTGGTTAGCATTTATTTAAGTCTGAAATATTTACTGGTTGTGATTTCTCAATGTCTATGCAATTGTCTGTGGATGTATGTATGTGTATATATCGATGTCTATGTGTATGTAGAGTGTATTCACATTTATCTGTGTGTGTATAAGTGTTAGTTTCCACGTCTCCTTTTTTCATAAAGGGCTGTAGAGATGTTCATGTATTCCCCACACCTCTCCTTTTTTTAGTGTGTGGGTATGTTTGTGTGTGTGTGTGTGTGTGTGTGTGTGTGTGTGTGTGTGTGTGTGTGTGTATGTATGTGTATCTAATTATGTCTGGATGCTTATGTATTATAATCTGATTGGGTTTTTGTTGTGTCACACGTGAGTTTAAGACCATATTCACAAACTTTAAAATAAAAACGGAAAAGAAGGGAAAAAGAGAAAAAATATATATACATGTATTATCAAATGACCGGATGTATTGTTGCGTCTGGTCTTCTCGAACGTAATTTCAATGAAGAAATGAATTGAATAAACACATATATTTTTTTCTTTTATCAATAATTTTGTAGTTTTTAAACTTAATAGTGATTAAATTGTTTTTTAAAATTGCCAGTTTTTAATTTTAATATTAAATTTTATCATGTAAATTTATAATTATTAGTTAGTATAAATTATTTTTAATATTACACGTATTTAAAGATATGAATAGCTATTAGAGCAGGATTTCGTTGTCAAGCTTTTGAATCTTTCTATACTTAGTTTTTGATTGGTTATTCTAGCTTTTGTAACAATGTTTCCCCCAGTGTAGGATCGTTAATTAATCTGAAACTTTTAAAACCATTTATTTTCTTTTCAACATCATCACTTGATAAGACACAGAGTGTGTTGAAACAAAATGGCTATTTTTTGTAGTGATTTTATAACATACTTATGTTATAATTTTTTTATAAAAATAATTATATCTGCTCTACTTTGTATTGAGCACTCTTTTAAGAATAGTAATTGTTGGTTATTGGAATTCATTCCGTGTATACTAATTATATACGTTGATATATATATATATATATATATATATATATATATATATATATATATATATATATATATATATAGTTGTCTGGAGAGTACGGTTGAAGCAAATGGCAATTTTATTGAATAAATTTACTGTTTATTATTTCAAGAAATTTTTGTGTAATTTTGGTAAATATATCTGTTAAAATGAGATGTCAGTGGTATTTTTATTATTTCGTAAGCTAGACGACAATTTATGAAAAACGTAAAAGGTAATCCGTATGGGTGAACCTAAGGAGGATAAAATCCAGAGAGCTCAATGTAAATCCAGAGCAAATAATTTAAATAAAAATAGACCACTTTAAGGTTCCATGTAATAAATTATTTCACCACAGCCCTTTTAAAAGGACTGTGGATCATCAGACTTTACTTCCAAACCTGGAAGTAAAGTCTGATGACCTGCAGTTAAAGAGGTCTGTTTAATATATATATATATATATATATATATATATATATATATATATATATATAGAGAGAGAGAGAGAGAGAGAGAGAGAGAGAGAGAGACATGATTAATATATAAAGTCATATTTTAATAAATATGTTTTGTTTATTTATCTGCATATGAAACAACGTTAGTTAAACCGTAAAAATGGTTGATACAGTCATAAAAAAATTATATCTCACCACACTAAACGATGTTTGAGTTTATTTGAAGCTACTTTACATATATATTTGCATTAGGGTGTGAGGTGCAGTGTAACAAATAAAGGCTCAGGATGTGAAACAGGATAGCGGAGTTCGAATTCCAGCCGTGTCCGTTACATTCACTAACGCGC